TTAATTCCATTCCCTTCTTTCTTTCCCCTACCCTTCCCACTTCCCCTTCCCCTTTGCCCCTTTTCTTCCTATTTCACAACATTTATTATACCTTTTAGTCCTTATTTACACTTTCAGTTTCTCACACTAGAGAAACTATTAGGTATTAACACATGTGTGTCCTATTTATTTCACTTAAGAGTATGGCCTCAATGTGCATCCATTTAATTATAAATGTCTCTAATTTCTCATTTTTTATGGCTGAGTAGTACTCCATTTTATTTAAAAAAACACATTTTCTTTATCCAGAAATATGGCTGTCATTTTATGTAATCTATGTGATTTTCTGTAATTCAGTTTTTACCATTTCTAATATTTTATAATTCATAGTTCACATAATATTATGACAGTACATAATTATTCACATAATTTTATATTTTTATATCTTTGTCTAATGTTAGCATAGGCATCCCCACCAACAAAGAATAAAGGAATTCAGAAATTACATAATCATATGCATATATATGATGATATCTAGTAGGCTAGATAATCATTCACATCCCAGCTGCCCCACCACTTCTTAAATTGAAAGCCTCCAGACCCTAACCAAGGATTGCAAGGAAAGGGAAACCCTCCTTGTGTCATGATTTCAACTCGAGGAGAAAACTCTATTGGAACAGTATACCTTGGAATTTTGTTAGTTCAGATACTGTCTTCAAATTCCTTTTTTTTGTACCGGGGATCAAACTCGGGACCTTGCGCTTGCGAGGCAGGTGGCAGAACCACTGAGCTAAATCCCTGGCCCAGTTCAAATACTATCAATACTTTTGCTTATAGCAGAAATCAAATTTATTGTCCTAGGTTTGACACCTACTCAGTTGTATTTTCAGTGTCTTTGGCCAGAGTTCCTAAATAGATATTCTTGTTATTTTACTCCCTGTCTGGATCTTGGACCTCTTGTTTTGTTTTTTCTTCTGATCTTTGCTTTCCTGAACTTTTTGCTCTTTGTGTCTAAAGAAGAATATGGATTTAAACTAATTATGTTGCGTTGTGTTACATTATGTTATATCATGTTAAATAACTAGTATATAAAATATATTTGCTTAAAAATTTGTAAAGGTAAAATATATATTTATGTATATTTAGAAATATTTAAATTTAACAGACATTAGTGTCAGAGGAATATAATATATTAAATAAATTGGTTTAGGAGAACATAAAACAGATAAATAATCATATAGTGAACTAAGGAAAAGACTCTAGACTGTTTAGATTCTTGCAGTTATAACAGTGAGAGGACCCAAGGACACAGAGTGCAACCTAGTGGATCAGCTAAGCAAAACCATCCAGCTATCACTTTTTGTTGTCTTTGAATATTATTTATTTGTTGAATATTGTTGCTTAAGGAAATAAGTACTATTTCAAAGGTTCTCCAGCGATTTCTATAACTTTCTGAGTTCTATAGACATTGACAATTGAAAAATGCTAGTTGAGTTTGAGAACAATTTTAAAATTAAGAATTCCTTATATGGCCAAGTGATAAAATAATGAGCTGGCTCCAATACTTTGCTCCTCAAGGGCTTCTTCTCATGTGGAAAATGCCTAGGATAGGGCCTGGGAGGCAATACATATTTATAATAATATTTCAACAGAAGGATGTCAATCATCCTCAATCCATTTTTGAGCTGGTCAAGTTAGTACATCTCTTAAATTATACAAGTTTTTTTGTCATTATCTTGCATTTTGTATTCTACCGAAACTTACCTTAAAATTTGCCACAATTCCTTCTCCATAGTAGAGCTCCAGGGTCTAATTACTATTTTATTACTATTCATTTTCATGTGGTTTTTATTCACACAGTATACTGGAAGAAAAGTTCATTATTTTATCACTTGGCCATTTCAGGGATCCTTAATTTTAAAATTGTTCTCAAACTCAACTAGTATTTTTCTTTTTTCTTTTTTCTTTTTGGTACTGGGGATTGAACTCAGGACCTTGCACTTGTGAGGCAAGCGCTGGAACCACTGAGCTAAATCCCTGGCTCAACTAGTATTTTTCAATTGTCCATGCCTATAGAACTCAGAAAGTTATAGAAATTGCAGGAGAGCCTTTGAAATAGTACTTGTTTCCCTAAGCAACAATATTCAACAAATAATGTGAATGGCAATTGTATAGTAAAAAGACTTGGTCTCTGGAGTCTATCAAATCTATATTCAGATCAAAGTTCTATTGTTCATTAATTGGAGTACCTTGAGCAAGTAATTTAACTTCTCTGAGCTTCAGTTTCCCTATGTTAAATAACCTACTGTCAAGGATTGTGATTTTAATCACTTTTGAATAGTTGATGGAGATTCAATACCAATCTGGAGCTGACAGTGTCAGTTCATTGTTCATGATATATACCATCATTTCATTTAACTCCAAAATATGACTAATCAAATAAGCCATCAGCCAAGAGCTGGCAAAATTAAATGTTACTCCATTATCCCAAATTTTAGTTGAAGAAAATAAATATAAGAAAGAGAATAAACTCTGTGGTTAAACAGTCATATCAACTCAGAGCAAAAGACATTTTATATATGAATATATAAAATATATATGTGACAGATATATGACTATAGATATATGAAATAGCTGAATTTAAGATAGTTGGAAAATCTTAATGCAACATACTCCAGACAGTTGACTTGCAATGGATGGCTGTAGTGAAAGTCTTTCAGTTTGACATTTAACCTTTTTTTTTTTGTTTTAAGAGAGATACAAAGTATATTACAAAGCACATGCTGGCTCTAATGGGAGGTCACAGCCAGTCTTCAAAGTACATATTTTCCTTTTTTTGCCGGTACCAGAGATCGAACACAGGACCTTGTGCTTGCAAGGCAGGCATGTTGCCACTGTGCTAAATCTCCAGCCCTTGTTGTTTCGTTTGGTTTTCCAGTACCGTGAATGAACTCAGGACCTTGCACTTGCCAGGCAGGCATGGTGCCACTGAGCTAAATCCCCGACTCAGTACATATCTTTTTTTAAGTTAAAATTTTATAAAAGAAAATAACAGAGGTAATCTTATTGCTTTTTATGAATAATGCCCTTAGAAAATAAATGGATTTAGAAAAAAGCATTTATGTATGTTTTTCTTGCTTGCAGCTCACCAGGACATGATTATAGCTTCTCAAACTTATCTAAAATAAAAGATAATATATATATCAACATTTTTGATGAAATGATCATTGAAAAACATAAGGTAAAGTACAGTATTTACAATAATCAATATTGAAATCATCCTAAGAAGATTAAACTGAATGAAATCTAGAAACATATTCGTAAATTTATTTATTTATTTATTTATTTATTTATTTATTTATTTATTTTGCAGTACTGGGAATTGAACTCAGGACCTTGCTCTTGTAAGGCAGGCATGGTGCCACTGAGCTAGTAAATTTATTTTAAATTCAATATCTCTAAAAGGATATTGCTAACATTTGTACAATACTGGGAAATCCCAGTCAGATGCCATACTTGGTATGTTTGTGTTGGATATCCACAAAGCTATTGTTCTACTAATTATTGCTTTAATTACCTTCCAGGTCTTCAGTGTCTGCTTTATTTATGTCATGGAAATTCTGAAAACCAAGACACTCTCTTTCCCTGTGGGTCTTATGCCCATGGTTGCAGCTTTCTGTTAGTGGAGAATAACCTAGAGATGTGCTAACAGTCCAAATGATGGAACTGTTGAAAGTTCCTTAGGAAGCCAATGCTGCACCCCTCAAGATTGTACATAGAAAGATTCTTATATACTAGCACTGTATGAAGCTAGCCTAGAAATGAGCCAAAGCTGTCTTCCAATCAGATGGTAGCATATTCATGTGTCTGACTTTTCCTCCATCCTATTGAAAATTCAATGGAAATTGAAAAAATGAACAAATTGGAGATTCAGTCATTGAAATGCTTTCATAACGCTTGAATTGTAAATATTTTGGATGGAATGTATTGGAATAGTATGCAAATCAGGTGGTGTGGGTCCCTGCCTTATTTTCATATGCTAAGGATACATCTCTGGGAGCTTGCAGTACCCTTTTCAAAACTCAGCTGTCATGTGGAGCTCATTTGCTACTCAAACCAGAGACAAACATTTAACATAAGTGAGATAATGGCCTTCAGCATTTTTCTATAGAACAAATTTAGCAATTTTTTCCATTAAACAGATAATTAGTTATACAAAGTACTTAGCTTTTATAATCATTTTAGCTATGACTTAAAGGTAAATTAAGCTGTATCACTGATAATGAACTTTGTGAGAAATTTTTTGTTTATCTGACTTTCATTCCTTCAGTATTCTTGCTATAAATTTCTTTTGGAGATAATGATGAAGATTTATTTGAAAATGTCTAAAATGTATGTATATTTTATATATATGTTCTATATATTAGATATAAATATATAAAACTATAGGTGCAGTTTACTGTTTTGTATTTTCATTTTGGGAGGTAGTGTACACAGCCAATAATGAGTATGATGAGTGTTGTGCTTTGCTTTTGCAGTATAATATATAGCTCTAAATGTTTAAATTACTGTATATACTATAATTCATTATAGGCTAGCATACTTGTTTTAAAAACTATCATTCTAGTTCATTAAAAGCTGAATGTAAGGGGAAAAAAATCCAGTATCTCTACCCACAACTTTCTAAAAAGAATTTGAGGCAAATTGCAGCAAAATCAGACATATGACAACTCATTTGCAGTTTAACATTACATATAAATGAGAGCTTCCTGGTAGTCAAAACAGAAAGAAAAAATAGGCTGCATATTTCTTATCTGAATAAAGGAAATATACCACTTCTATGAAAAAGACCAAGTTAGTTCTAGGACTAAAATTTAGTCTATTTAAGGTTGTCTCTAAAATTACTGAATGCCGGGTGTGGTGGCACACTCCTAGAATCCCAGCACTCAGGAGGCAGAGGCAGGAGGATCGCTGCAAGTTTGAGGCCAGCCTAGCCTACATGGTGAGTACAAGGCTAGTCTGAACTACATGGTGAGACCCTGTCCCCAAAAAACCAATAATTAATTAATTAATTAACTACAGAACGTCTTCTTCATACATATGTGAGAGTTTCTAACATAATACCTACTACCATATTAAGCACTGAAATAAATGTTAGTTTCCTTCATACAGAAGTTGGCACTAAAAATATAAATATCCACTGTGCCTACTTTCTTGTGATAAATAACTGTGTAGGTAAATGTATTAGTGTTCTCCAGAGGAACAGAACCAATAAAATATATATAACTATAAGAGGGAATTTATTAGATTAACATATACAGTCAGAGGGTAAATAGCCCCACAATGGCTATTTTCAAGCTGGAGAGCCAGGGAAAACAGTAACTTCTCAGCTTAAGAAGTTGGAAGACTCAGAACATAAGAGATCAATGATACAGGCCCTGTTCAAAGCTGAGGGCCTGAGTGGCCCCTGGAGAGCCATTGGTGCAAGTTTGTGTTCAAAGACTGAAGAATCTGGAAACTGACGGCCACAGGCAACAGCAGCAGCAAAATTAAATAAATAAATAAATAAATTTTAAAAATTAAATTCTTGCATTCTTGTTAGAATAAGACCCACATACTTTGGATATCAGACTTGTTTGTGACAATGTTGACATGCTATTTAGGAAAGGAAAGGGCTTTTTCTCACAGACTGAGCAGGGTAACTATGGACCAAAACATTCCATTTTCTCATAAAACATTAAATCTAAGCTGAGCCCCACAATAACCACTCAGAAGAACCCAGGTTTTGGTTTATCAATGATGATTATTTTGTCCAGAAATGCCTCAATTTTCCCCTTTTCTTCTCCTGTATTTTTTCTTCCTGTTATCAACTCTTCCTTACTTCCCACGGATCTCCCCTTCATGAGTTATATGCCAACAGAAAGCTGAGGACTTGATGGCTCACAGACATAAAGTCTATTTTTTACACTCAGAATGAAAGAGCTGGGCTAAATTACATTTGAAGCTGGCAAAGCCATCCTGGAGCACCCTCCAGATATGCAACTTCTGTTAACTGAAACTGTAATAAACTGGCTGATAGCTACAAAAAGAACTTTAATCCAATATTCAAATGTTGGTTTAAATGTTTTTTAAAAGAAAGAAAGATTAGTATTTTTCAAGATTTTCAAGTTTATTAGCATATCATTTTCAGCATATCTCATAATTTTTGACATACATAATTTTTGATCTACCCACCTCTCATTTATAACTATCCAATGTGTCTATTTTTAAAATTTTAATTTATAAGTGTCTCTTTATAAGGGGCCTCTTTAAAAGGGGGTTTATTGAACCATTACAGTTGGTAGCCAGAAAGAAAGACCAAGGTCCTGAGATGAACAAGGTCCTGCTGCAACCAAAACACCAGGGTAGGTAGGAGTTGGGAAAATGTCCTCAGGGGCCTAACAAAGGCTGAGTATTTTATAATGAATATTTTGGGGAAAGAATGCATATAATTCACATTGAACCGCCATTAGCTGAAGATAAGAAGAGATCATACAAAGTGGGGAAAGTAAGGAGAAGGAATCTTGTTTCTAGATTGCTTAGGGTTTAAGCAAAATGAGGTGGCACATAAGGGTATAAAATAGTCTTGTTCTATTCAACCTGTAGTTACCTGTAGTTGTTTTAGTTGATTAAATCTCACCTATCATCTTTCCTCTCCTCCATCCTCCAGCCCTTGTAATTAAATTTAGGACATACCTTAAATTTTTTCTCTGATTAAACAAAATTGCTTAAATTTTAAAGAACCCACTATTAAAATTATTTTTGTATTTGACTTTTTGTATTTTATAATTCATTTGTTTCTGCTTGTATTTGTATTATTTTCTTCCTCCCAATGCCTTCAGGACTATATCTGTACTTATTTTGGTCAAATATGTTGAATGATTCATTCATTTATTTATTTATTTAATTTTTAAAAAATTTTTATTTTTTGGTACCTGGGATCAAACTTGGGCCCTTGCACAGGCGGTGAAACCACTGAGCTAAATCCCCGGCCCATATGATTCATTTATTTAATCTCTTGCCCTTTCATAATAGTAGTCTATCACTAAAAACATCTTAGAATATATCTTTTATATTGAATTATCTATTATTTTTATTTTTCATTACTTTATTCATATTTT